AATTGTGGAGTTGCATTCAGTTGTTGTTAATTAAGAGCATAAAATTATATAAGAAATGATTTTTTTTTTTGTGCAAGAAAGTATTTCTTTTGTTTATCTTGGTAGAAGTTGGATAGTCGGATACATTATCCATGAAAATTAGCACATACGGCTTATTTTTATATGATTACTTTTTATTATTTGCTTGTATATCCAAAAGTCTAGGCATGGAACCGGCGTATGTGATTTTGACCCCTTTGAAAACCCAAAATTTCTGCTATCTTTGTTAAATTCAAACTAAAAAAAAAAAGTAAATAAAAAGAAGATTCGAGATCACCTAAACACAATTTTGGATATTTGAGAAGCATTTTTACAATTTTACACCAATAAATATGTGTAACACTTTCTAATGTGAATAGCTCAATCGGCATACCACTTAGTTATCCAAAAGAAAATTTGGAAAAGTATGAGTTCGAACACCAACAAAAACAAAAAGACTAATTCATCTGAAAAAGTTATGAATATATGCACGAAATTTCTTGGTTGTCAACTAAATAATATATATAAATTCTAAGACTTTCCAAAATTTATGGCTTGATATTACATGGCATAATACTTTTCATATTCTTTATTAGTTTTAAGAAAGAAAACACCAAAAAAATCATTATATTTATATTGTAAACTTCAGACGAATTTTAGTTTTCAAAAGTGGTTATTCAATCAAAATGATGTGCAAGAAAAGCTTTATTGTGAAAAAATATACCAGAATACATATATTAGTATATAGCTTAACCAAACTCCAAAGAAAAACTAAAAAACTATATTTTGTGGGTTTCTTTTTTTCACCCGAGATGTTTCTGTTTTCTCCCCTTTTTTATTCCTGTTTTGGTAAATAACAACATTCTCCATAAAAAAAAAAACCTAAAAACTATGGAAAAAAACTAAAACCAAATATCAAAAAACTAAAACCAAAAACCAAAAACTAAAAAAAAAGCATTTAAAAACTACCAACAATCAAAAGTATTATAAACCTTCACAAATACAAAAAGAGAAAATAAGGTATGGTGGTTAGCGAAAAACTATATGATTTGAAACGTCAATAATTGTAACTAGCTATATTGAAAACCTTTTATCGTAATTCCGTAATCATCGAAACTTAATTCTTGTTAAGGACAGTATTTACAGTGCAGCCATAATACCCTAAAATTACGTGAAACATCTCATGAAATGAAATTACGTAACGCAACTTCACTTGCATGGGATATCTATAAATACCTCCACTGAACATTTTCATGCAAAATTAAGCTACAGCAAAACCCAATTTCAAAAAAGAAACATTTCTAAAAGCAATCATATTGAAAATATAAGCAATATTCATATTGAAAATAATGGGCAAGCTCTTGGTGATAACGTTAGTTTGTATTTTCATGGCTTTGCAAAGCTTGGAAGCTCTTGCCTATGGAGATGCACTAAACAAGTCCATCTTGTTCTTTGAAGGCCAACGATCCGGTAAACTCCCGGCCAACCAACGGGTTAAATGGCGAGCCAATTCTGCGCTCTCGGATGGCAAAACAGATAACGTAAACCAGCTATATTCATAAAAATATCTATATGCATATAATTTTCCAACATGGAGACTATACTACGAATTTCATTAATGATAAGGCGTTTGTGTTATCTTTTAATGTTCTGGTTTGATTGTTTTTTTCAGGTGAATTTGATCGGAGGATACTATGATGCAGGTGACAACGTTAAATTTGTGTGGCCAATGTCATTTACCACAACCTTATTGAGTTGGGCTGCAATTGAATACTCAAATGAGATTTCCTCCGTTAAACAACTCGGTTATCTCCGGTCTGCTATCAAATGGGGAACCGATTTTATCCTCCGTGCTCATACTTCCCCCACTACACTATATACACAGGTAAAACGGATTTAATTTCTAGTTTATTAATCATATCGAAACCAATCCGAACCGTGATATTTTAGTATGTTCTGGTTAAATGACACAAGTAAGAAAATGTTTACAACTAGTAATATCGAATCATTTTTTTTCGTTTTAAGTTTTCTTTCTTAGCCTCGTTATACATTATCTCGGGTTTGAATCCGGATAGTGACTCAACAACGGCACTCGATCCGGACTTCATAATTTTAATTTTATATATATATTATTTGAGAAAAAATTAGTTTTGCATATGATTACTTTTTGAAAATTATTTTGAATTGGTTACCTCATTAGTTGGATTCGTATATATCGAATTTTGATTTATTTTTAATTAATTTCATAATGAATTATATAAAAAAGGTGGGAGATGGGAATTCAGATCATAGTTGTTGGGAGAGGCCAGAAGATATGGACACACCTAGAACTCTCCTCAAGATCTCCTCCTCTTCCCCCGGCTCCGAAGCCGCTGCTGAAGCCGCAGCCGCTCTTGCCTCTGCCTCACTTGTTTTTAAATCCGTCAACTCTAATTATTCATCCAAGCTACTAAACCATGCAAAATCAGTGAGGCTATACACAAATTAATTCCAAAACAAATTAGGTTATGTATGCTTAATCATACTTAATGATTTAACTTACTTTACTCTTTTTTTATGCAGCTATTTGAATTTGCTGATAAGTACAGAGGCTCTTACCAAGCATCTTGCCCCTTTTACTGCTCATACTCAGGCTACCAGGTAATTGAACCAAATCAAACCCGATGCACATAGATATTCGTTAGTAATATCCCACTTGGGTAAAAACTTTGACTTATGTATAAAAGAAAATAAAACTTTGACTGATACATAAGGTTATTGACCAATTTATTTATTTTATAATAAATTTTGAGTTGACAGTCCATTATAGACATTATATATATAACGTTTTATTTCAATAAAAATGACTCAAACCAACCTCCAATAATCTACGAATATTTTCATGTCACTTTTTGTATTGAAATAACGAGTCATTTTTGGAAATATTTTGGGGTGAGAAAGGACGAATTATTATGGGCTGCGGCGTGGCTATACAAGGCAACAGGAGATAAGAAGTACATAAGTTATGTTACAAGCAATCAAGGTTGGAGCCAAGCCGTTAATGAATTTAGCTGGGACAATAAATTCGCCGGAGCTCAGGCTTTACTCGCATCGGTTAGTATATATTATAAACCGACATTATTAATAACTATAACCAGATAAATTAATTAGGTTGATCTCATTGAATATTTTCTTGTTGATTTTATTTTTTAAAGGAGTTTTACAATGGGAGAAATGATTTGGGAAAATTTAAGAACGACGTTGAGTCCTTTGTATGTGCATTGTTGCCAGGAAGTAGCTCTCAGCAAATTAAACCAACTCCTGGTAATTTTCCCCTGTTCGCTGGAAAACCGGTAAA